AATGATGGGGTTGTGTTTTATCAACCATGGATAGCCCAAAATAAACTGCGGTGAGGGAGAATGAAAAACCATGAACCCACCCAGTTCTCTGTGATTCCCGGAGATGATGAATGGTAATTCAGTTACCTCCTGGGTGATAGTTGTGATGTTTCTTCCCGTGACTCCAGCCACCGGAATGGGGTAAGGAAGGCTTCTGGTAGGCATTTGAAGCTCATCTACCAAATCTTGAGAAATAAGGTTCCTCTCAGCTCCCGAGTCAATGAGGGCCTCAATGGAGTAGTGTCTCTGTTGAAGCATAATTCTGGCAGGAAGACAAAAACGTGAATCAGGGGCACAACGAGCTTCACTCACCAAGATCCCCTGAATGGCTGGTGAGTGCTGGAGTTTAACTTGTTTGGGCAAGATCGCACAAAATGTCCTCTTTCCACAGTAGAAACATTCACGTGCTGTCAATCGTCGTTGCCTCTCTTGCAACGCGAGTCGGGTTCGTCCGATCTGCATTGGCTCAGGTTCGGAATCATAGTGAGTGGTATCTGGTTGAAACGGGGGTCCTCTGATAGCAGGAAATGCTGGAGGAAAAGTTGACCCGGAAGCCATCGGTTCCGCTTGGCCCCGCCTTTCCCGAAGGCGATTATCGATCCTGATCGCCAATCTGATGAGGTCATCCAACATCTCCGGCTCATCTCTGTAGTATGACATATCCTGAGATATATTCATACAGTTAAAACGGGTTCTTTCATTTTTCTGGACTGTGTAACATACGTGCGTTGAATGTAATAAAAATGTGGACGTGAGACGTTAATTATCTTTGACTCACCAAGCGAGTGGGTCATTTATTAACAGAATCAAGTTTAACACATCACACATTTACATTAATTGGCAAGAATTGGAAAACAACGACATAATTAATCAGCTTTACAACCAGGAAAACCATACGGCCATGATTTTCCGTTGCTTCACCACAGACATTTCTGAAAACATCTGGATTAATTTGCTAGCAGATAGGAGAGTTTAAAGATGGAAAGTGAAGTTTGTCTACAGAGAGATGTGTGAGGGAATTTGTCTGTTTTAACCAGAACAGCACGCTCCTTCGGAAATCAGCTTGTCCCAACAGTACACTTTTGGTGAAGGTCGACTTTTACCTTTTCTGAAGATAGATCAGTTCCGGCGTGAAGTCCCACTTCTAGCCACTGTTCAGCGTCTCCGTAAGAACAGCTAAAGACCTCGAGAGTCGTGTGAGGTTATCCAAACAGAAGTTATAATTCCCAAAATCGTCTCTGGTTCAGCTTGATTCTAATTCAGCAGCATCCTGAATGCCCGTGTTCTGCATTCAGGAACTCCCAAACTCTGCATTCTGAATTCCAAAAACTCTGCTTGAACTGCTGCGTCATCTTCAAGACTGAGCTTACAGCAGCTTCAAGACTGAGCTGAACTCTCTGAGCTGAACTCTCTTCCAGAACTCTTCTCTGAACTCTTCCCGTTGAACTAGGAAGTGCCAACCTTTTAAGAAGGGTCACTTCCGGTTCATTTGAGAGCTTTTTGATTGGTCGATGGACCAAAGCAGAGGTGTGGTTTGTGATGTAAGGCGTTATTAAAAGTCAAGGAAAAGATTCAGATTGTTTAAGAACTGACAGAAAGATATCATGGAAAAAAACAGACTTCGTGGAGCCACTCACCAAGTATCTTGCTGTAAAAGTTAAACATGACATTTCTTTTCAGTAAACTTTCAGTTGACCGAAACTTGAACTTTGACACACTTACAAATTTGCTCACTTCAAAGCAGACGATCAAGAAATTGAATCATTACTCTGTAACGTACTCTAACTTGATTTCACTTTGAATTGAGGATTAAGAATCATTACTACTGTTTAAGTAAATAAAAATGATTAGTTCACTTCAACATGTAGACATTGTTTGAACCAAAACACTTTGATTATCAAAACATTTGTAAAATAGTAATGATCATAGAGAATTGTCTTTTTCCACTTGATTAATTCAAGAAAGAAAGTCTCAGGATGGGTTAACCTGCATTTCTGGATTCAAATCAATGAAATGACAGTTTCAGTCCCATATGGTCAGTTTTGACATCAGGCCTAGTCCACTACATCTCTAAGTGCCAGTTGATCCTTTATTTGATCAGAAAGTGAATTAGAAAATACCCCCTTAAGTGCCACCTCATCCCACCTGGTTTTCTCCGCCGCAACCCGGAAGAGGATGGCGTATTCAGCCACGGTAGTTTGATCCTGTCTCATAGCCAACAGACGGCGGGACGTCTCCTCCTGGTGGACAGGGACATGAAACACACTCCTGAACTCCTTAACAAAGTCATTAAATGATAGTGAAACCACAGGGTGAGACTGAAGGTAGGCATGAGCCCATTCAATAGGTAAACCTCTCAACGAAGTAACGATATAAGTGATTCTGGATGCAGAGTTTGGGAACAGGGAAGGAGAACGGGCAAATGCTAGTTCACATTGGAGGAGGAAACCATTGAATTGTTCTGGGTTACCTTCAAAAACTGCGGCCGGACGAATCTCCGGCTCACGGGGTTGTTCCGAGTGGGTGGTGCTTAGCGCTGGCGGCGCTAATGGTGGTGAGACGGCCGACGTGGGTGGAGTTAGTGTTCCCATTCTATTGCCGATGGACTGAATCATTCCACCCACCGTTTCCAGATTCAACTGTGTAGTCTTGTGTTGGGTAATTAGTTCCTGTAAGAGAGCTTCATTTCTCCTTACTCTCTCCTCAAGGGTGACCTGATCAGCATTCAAACCGTTCTTTGACATATTGTGGCCAGAGCAAACTGTTAGGGTCTGTAGGTGATGTCAAAAGGTGAACGGTTTGAAGCAAGGACTAAACAACTTGAGGTAAAAAAAACAATATTATTTATTGGTTCAGATGTATCTGGTGAACTCAAACTCAGGATGGATCCACTGTGGGAATAGAGAGGAGATTGGTGGTGAACGACAAATCGTCTTGAGGAGATTTTGGAAATGTTGATAGTAATCCAAAAATAAGCTTACTTGTCGTTGTTGTTCCAGGAGCATGAGAACAGTAGACAGGATCCGAATCCAACAATCCACGGTGGGATCAGGTGAGTATTTTTACAAGTGTATTTACAAAAATCACCAAGGGAGCCGGGGTGGAGGTGAGGAGGAACCAGGA